GTGCCACAGTCGTAGTAGTTTGCAGGGCAACCTGGCACTCGAGAGGGTGATGGTACGGCTGGCGGAGGTGCAGGGGACCAAGCGCCTGGACAATAAGGGCAGGTCTCCATTGACACGCAAAAGCAAGATCCACAGTCCACAAAACCACTGGGACAGTATGGCACCGTTGATGGAGTCCAAACAATGTGTGGTTCAGTCCCATTGCTTCCAGTCTCGTTAGTGTCGTTCTCAGTCTCATTCTCCAACTCTGGTGGTGGCAGCGTTGGAGGACCAGGTGGCCAAGCGCCACAACTCAAGCAATTTCCCGGAGGTGTGCATAGGCATCTTCCACAGTCCACAAACCCAGCAGGGCAGCCAACCACCCTGGATGGCACACCTGTGTTGTTGCCTCCACTCGGTGGTCTGCTCGGTGGAAGCCCTTCGCAACGGGCGCAGTTCGTGTCTTGAGTGCAGAAGCAGCTCCCGCAGTCCACAAAGCCTGCAGGGCATCCAGGAATCGTGGAGGGTCGCCCCGTCGCAGTCCGTCTGGTCCTCGGAGAGGGAGGTCTCGGGGTGTGGAATCCGACAAAAATGGTTGGTCCGACCATCGGAAAGAGAAACGCCCAGCAGTTCCATGCATGGAACTGGGTGCCAAGTTCTTGGAGGATAAAACAAGAATCGGTGCCCGGAACATCCACTCACGTGGGGTCCAAGTGAAGCAACATGGAGCTCTGGAAGTAAATGCTGACCCGAACGTGCCACCTGCGACCCACAACCGCTCAGATGCCTGTGTCGGGTAAATGGACCAAGAACCATCACAACTGCATCTCACGGTTCTCCTACTAAAAAACCTGAAAATCACGACCGGCCCGTGAAATATTGTTAAATTCAGAGCTGCCTGTGTGCGAAGGCATAAAACCACTTGTAAAACAAATAGATGCAAATGAAAAAAAAATTGCACCTCGAACACTTCCCCAACTCAACGGAAAAGAGTGCCTCGGACAGACGAGCGGCGTTGGAGGACTTGGCTTCTCAGCTCCTCTCAAAGATGCCCACGCAGGAAGAATCAGCAGGAAGCCTTGCGCGACGAGGCCGAAGCAGAAGGACTGCAAGGTTGAGAAGGAAACAATGCCATCCTGAGGAACATCTAGTCAGGATCAGGATATTGTTTCTCTAAAGTTTGCCATGGCTGAATGCGGATTGCATGGTGCGATTCCAGCCTGCAAGAACGGTTATCCTCACCATTGCACTCCACTAGGCTACGATTCGTCCTTTGATCTTTGGAGCCTCGTCTCAAGGCGGCAGAGAAGGGAATCGCACTCTCACATGCTCCAGAGTCTTAGACTCCTCTTCAACTTCTTTCCTGACTCTTGTAACAAAGGCCTCAAAAAACGATAGCCAAGGGCGCTTCAAGTAGCAAGATGAAGAAAACATTGCAACTCAAAAGGAAGGCGGCGCCAGCAACCTATTTGCAATCCCAAAGCACAAAAGAACTTTACTGCGAGTGACCCCCGCCATGACATGTCAATCCTTTGTTCTCATGTGGAAACGAACAGTCAAACACAGTGGCTCACGCAGGACGTTTTTGTCTAAAGCAAACGTCTTTTGTGAGACACATGCCCGGCTAACTTTCCAATTGATCTCATTCAACCTGGCGGCCATTGCTATCTCAGGTTTGGTCAGTCAAACAGGTGCATGTCAAAACATGCCAACCCATACTGGCGCGTAATCAGCATCGATTCTGCCAGGTGCGGCCATACATCCAATTCTTCCACTGGGTCTAAACCGCCCAACACAATCCGGCACCTTTTCATCATGCATTTGGCACGTTTCCCCAAGCCACATAGCCAACAGACACCCCTGCCAGGCCGGCATTGAAACAGGGCCACACGATCGGTACCATAGTCTCTGCTGCCACTGCTGCAGACTCTTGACACAACAACTCCAGACGCGAAACTTTCCATATGTATTCCAAATCTTTGAGACACATACATCTGCCAGCGACTTGAATACAGCTTCGAGTGTATAGCAGCATTGCCCACACGCAGTATCATGCGCCGATGTTCCACACACATGCAAACAAACGCCATCCAATCGCAGCACCATTCAGGCATCGTCATCCGGAACCAGGAAATGCATTCATGAAATGATATTCATGGAGTGTCAACGTACCATATACTGACTGTATATTCCATGTATCTGTACATACCATATACATACACTGTACATGTCTCTGTGTTGCACGGCTCACAATCAGAGTGAAGCTGCTCAGTTCAACAGACTGAGCAGCAGATATTTCTATTATCTACTTGTCTCAGTCGCACGGCAAGTGTCAAGTTGAAGCTCCCTAGGCGCCGGGCCCAGCGCTTCTAAGTCATGAAATGAAGGCAAGTGGTAACAGTAGTACGTAGTGGTAGTGGTCGTGGTGGTGGTGGTGGCGGCGACGGTGGTGGCGGTGGTGGTGGTGGTGGAAATATTTTTAGTCGTTGGTGGTTGTGCTTTGGTGCTTGTGTGTGTGTGTGTTGTGTTAGTGTTTGTGGCTGTCTTGTGTGTTTGCGTGTGTGGTTGTGTATTGTGCGTTGTGTGTGTGTTTCTGGCGGTGTTTGTGGTTGTATGTTGTGTGTTGAGGTAGACCCTCACCTGAGAAGGAAGGGGGAAAAACACAGGCTCATAGGCATCTGTGGTGTGCATCGGTCCAAGCCGCCTTTTCAAGCTCTGCAAGCTCTGCAAGCTCTGCTATACGACTCCCAAAGCTTTACCCAGCTCTTGTGGGCCTTGAAGTTCATTCTAAGCAATCAAGAAGATGGAGCTGGTCAACATAACATCCTTGCGTACATCTAACTACTGCTTCCAAAAGCAAACAATTACCGAGTAATATGGCAGGAAAGAGAACCAGCTACCCTGTGCGCTTTCTTGTTGATTGAATTATATAGCAATTATTAGCAATTGCCAGCGAAGCACAACTGTACACTTGCTAGCTTTACAAGCAAGAGGATGTGAAAAGCGCTGCCTAAAGTTAAGCAACAATTGACAGGTTCTTCACTCAAAGGGATACCTAAGGATGGACTGTCTGGTCGGAAAGGTTTCCGATGAAAGACACACCTCCCGGACACCACTGGCAAGTGCCGCGAGGGACACATTGGCAGGTTCCACAGTCAACATAGCCCCTGGGGCACCCTGGCACTTGAGAGGGCCTTGCTGCGGAATTTCCTGGTGCACCTGGTGCTGGCGCAGGCAACGCCGGTGTGCTACCAGGACACCACTGGCATGTGCTGTG